GATTTTGTTTTAAAGTCTATTTTATCTGAGATTAGTATTGCCACTCCTACTCTTTTTGGTAGTTGTTAGCTTGATATATTTTTTTCCCACCCTTTGACTTTTAATAAATTCACATCTTTGTTTCTAAGGTGTGTCTCTTGTAGACAGCATATTGATGGATCCTATTTTCTTATCCACACTTTTTTGTTTGGGATGCTGACTAAAAAATACATTTTGTGTCATCAATTTTCATATGGTGTACATAAACATACTTCAGCCCTTCTCTCTGTACCTGCTCCATGAACAGATCTGGGAAGAATGAGCACAACACACGCCTCTCAATAGCTGGAGGGGAAGGGCCAGGACAACACAGCCCAGCAGAACGTCAACAGAACCTCAGCAGGCAGACCCTGTATACCTGCCACTGGGCCTTTCATAGCCCCCACCACCACACCACTAATGCTGTCCCAGGTGGCTGTCCTACAGATGTTCCAAATTGATATTAGGGTATAAAGGATATATACACATAAGGAAATTTGAAGGTCAAACCTAAAATGTACACAAATATGGTAAATGTGTACCCACAGCAAATAAGCTAGATGGTATTCGATTCCTTCTCCAGAATTTAGCCCAATGTGAGATCTGCTTTAACCGCAGGCTTTTTTTTTTTTCTTTCCTAGATCCAAACATAAAAGCAGACATTAACAAATGGAGGATAAAATTAGATAATTATTCTACCCAGGAATTGGGAAAAACAATTGTCTATTTGGATGGCTCTACTCAGTCGTGCCGTTTTAGAGAATGCAACATGGGCAATTTGATTTGTGATGCTATGGTAAGTCGTCCTCAGGAACAGCCCTGTGCCTAGAGAGGAAGGGGAGGAGGAAGGAAGGAAGAAGAGGAAGGAAGGACACAAGGAGGAACAAACTGATAGTTATAGAATTGGTGATTCTCAGTGCCTTGGGAAGGTGCCAGAGCTACTTCAGGTGATCCTCACTCTATTGCTTTACAAGAACTGAAGTCTTTATTTTAGAGTGTTGGTCTCAGATGTCTGGATTTCAGATGTTGCTTTCCTTTTACAAGACGATCAGAACACACAGACAAACTCTGCTACCCTGAGGAGCTTGCTGAAGCCATCATGGATTGGATCTTTATGTGATTTGATATTGACTGTTGTCTCCGAGCCATCAATAAGTTATTATATTTATTTATTTCATGTTTGCTTACTGTGTCCTAGCTTCTTGTTTTGATATGCCCAAATAGGCTGCTCGTATGAGCTAGTTTGATTATTGGCACCTTTGAAGCTCTAATGTCCTGTCACCAGGTGGTTAGATCTGTTACTAGGTATGTGAGCTTAGGAGTCCACCCAATCCTCCTGTATGGATTCAGCTCAGGTGCCCAGGTAGATAGCCACCAAGTGTGTGGTGTAGGTTCTCACTTACAGTCCTAGACAGGCATGGGTGATTGGTATAGGCACAGGCATCTGGCTGCAGCAGGGGGACACACTCTGAGCAAGGCAGGGGGCTGATGACCACCCTCGAGTGTCCAGGAGGAAGGCATGTCCCTGTTCCCTAGAGCACGTAGGTGAGTGGGTTTTGCAGCCGGACTATGAGCACCTAATGCTGTTGGCTGTAAGGACTGGGGGGCACCTCTTATTCATGGGCCTCTACCACAGGTGGCTAGGTGGCACGGGTGAAGCCACCAGTCCTCAGGCCCCTGATGTGGGTAGGTGAAGACCCTGCTTAATGGGCAAAGCAGTGTCAAATGTCAAGAACCTGCCACTTCACAGCTGAAACAGTTGAAGTTAGACTTCCGGTATATACCCTGTTGTACTGCAGTAATGAGGGCCTACGCTGTTGAAATGGGCCCACACAAGTCTCTGCAGGGCGAAAGGCACTCAAAGTCCATGGATCCCTTATGCCTGTGCCTAGGCAAAGGAGCTGTGCTTCCCCGGGGTTCCTGGCTTAGGGGAGCCAGCAGTTTATTTTTTCCTGTTTGTTAATTTGTTCACTCTCCAAGTCAGGGAGAATGGCTCCGGGCATGTGATGGATCCTACTTCTGGCCCAGGGGACTTGACAGTTGCTGAAGCTGGTCCAGGACCCAGTGCAGAGCAGGGAGTAGGGAGGTAAATGGGAGAGAGGTTTTTCCCTAAGGGAGGTGTTTTTGATCTGCGCAGTAAGCCGTACGCAAGTACTTATCTTTTGCCAATCCAGGGCTGCTTCTCACTGGTTCTGGGTGGCCGTGTAGACTCTCTGGCGCTGGGTCTCTCCCAGTGTGGAAAATGCGCCTCCCGAGGACCGCTGCTTGCCTGCCTCACTGCTCACGCCTGAGCTGATCAGGCCTGAAGGGCTCAGGCTCTCGCCGGGTCAGAACTGGCAACTCCTCGCTGCTTCCGAACCATCTCTCCCTCCCCCTGCCACTGAGTCTGGTTCCTCAACTCTGCCTTTGATGTTCAGGGCTCCCAGATTGCCAAAAATAATCGATTCACTTGTTTTTTCGGGTCTTTGTTGTAAGAAGGTCCACTGGAAGCATCTGACTACTCCGCCATCTCGGCCCCGCCTCTCTCTGCTCCCCTGATTGTAATGTAGACATAATAGCTAAAACACATCTGCTTGAGCCTAACTTGGCAAAATTGTTTTTAACCAGTTTGTCCACTGGCTCCAGAAAACCTAGGCTTAGTGTGACTGGAACCTCCTTTACAAGCTAGAATTACAGCAGGCAGTTATAGCGATGATGGTAAGTCCTGTGGCTGAGCAGTATCACCCACGAAAAGCACTCTTCTGTCCATGTAGGCAGATTAGCCATGGTTTCCTTTGGGGGCAATGCTGAGCCCAGGTCTGCAAGGTCAGACTCATCATTTCCACTTGCTCAAAGCCCAGGGGATCGTTTCTCTGTCAGAGCCCAGCACGGTGCCTGAAATACAGCCACACTCAATCACAGCGGTCATGCTTTCCAAGGTGAGACCAGTGCCTGCTCCTCAGTATCGTGCAGTCAGTGGGAGAGAAGTTGCTAAAGAGAATCCAGTAGGTAAATGTATAGAGTAGGTCTGGAAGGAAACACCCAGGCTCTTCACAGGGCTTACCTCTCTGTGTGAGAGAACTTTTGCTCTGTTTTTTTTTTTTTCCATGAGAATGTATTCATATATTTCTTATAATTAAACATGCAGTTTTGTAAAAGAAAAGCAAGAATTAACCTGATTCTTCCCAGTTTCAGGAGGCTGCCTCTGTGCCTCCAAAATCGGCAGCTTGGGAATTGGCTGGGGGGACAGACATGGAGTCCAGGGCTCTTGTTGACACAAGGTCCAGAATAGAACAGGCTTTAGGTCTTGCCCTGAGGTGCAAGCACAGAGTAGAGCCCACCCTGGGGAGCCTGTGGAGGAGCAGCGCTGACACCAGGGCTCCACCATAAGAGGACATTCCCCAGGGACTCGCTGGCCTGAGTGTACAGGGGTCTCAGGAAAGGGGACTAAAAGCTACCTGTTTCTGAGAGCTGAAACATAACAGCCAGTTCAGAGTCTGACACGGAACTGGTCACAATATCGTATTTTTGCTTCTCAGAAGATAAAGCTAGTTCTGACTAATTGTACTTGAAATCTCTGGGAACACAGAAGCAGGAGAAAAACAGCTTCATTTCCTCAATTAAAAAAAACAGTTGCCATTGAATTGATTCTGACTCATGGTGACCACATATATGTCAAAGTAGAACTGTGCTGCATAGGGTTTTCAGCGGCTGTGATCTTTCGAAAGGAGGCCTTTCTTCCAAGGCACCTCTGGGTGGAATCAAACCACCAACCTTTCAGTTAATAGCCGAGCGCTTAACTGTTTGTGCCACCCAAGGTCATTTCTTCAATAAAGCTAAATTTCTAGAACTTATCCCAAGGAAGAAAACTCAGAATAACTAACGTAAATTTGTGCAACTGTTGCAGATTTACAACAACATTAGACACCCGGATGAAATGACCTGGAACCACGTGTCCATGTGCATCATCAATGGAGGCGGCATTCGGTCACCCATTGACAATCACAACAATGGTATGTTCCCTAGGCTTGGGATCCTCACTCATTGTCTTTCCACTCTGGCCGTGCATTCTCATTAGGTTAGGCCCACTGCCCTGACCATTCCCCTGTCCATGGGCGGCCTCAGCTCATCTCTTCTGCCAGCCATGTACAGAGTGTCAGCTCTTTCAGTTTGGGTTAGCTGCCACTCAAGCCCTAACCGAAAGGGCTCACTCATGCTTATGTGTTCTCGTAGGTATTCGCACATAAAGGCAGCAGCTAGGGTTAATGGAATCCAAGCTTGATCTAAATTTCTGACTCATAAAGCTAAATAATAATTGTTGCTGATTTACGAAAATTTTGACAGCCTCCACCTTGGTATCTGGGAAGAGAAAAACAAAATTACCAGGCTTTTGTGCTGGAAAAGACATACCACTGGATTACATTGTTATTCTAGTGTATTTGCAAGGAGACTTGGTGGCTCAATGGTTAAGCGCTCAGCTGCTAACCAAAAGGTTGGTTGTTCGAAACCTCCCAGCCACTCCACAGGAGAAAGACCTGGCAATCTACTCCTGTAAAGATTACAGCCTAGAAAAACCATATGGGGCAGTTCTACTCTGTCACATGGGGTCACTATTAGTCGAAAATCGACTTGATGGCACCTAACAACAACAGTGTATTTGCAGAAACTCAAGGTTCTATCATATGGTAAAAGAAATCAACTAGACAGATACTCAAGACAAGCTTGAAGCCCTCATGGGTTTAAGCCCCAAGCTCATCTCATTATCAGATAACAGGGACAGGTGGCAGGGACAGGCTGCCTGCCTGGAGGAAATGAGCACTTTTTAACAAGCCACTGGAGATCCAGCCTCAAGCCAGGTGATCTGAGACGAAGCATAGGGGACTTTTGAGCCACACCATTTATAAGCTTCCGCCATCTTTCCCAGTGGTGGAGGGCACAGCCAGAGGCCTCTTGAATCCATTCCCTCTCTTATGTGTCAGGAACCACTTCCACACAGCTGGTGCTGCTCTAAAAATCTCTCCATTCCCCTAAGTGATGCAAATGGTTAACATCCTCGGCTGCTAACCAAATGGTTGGAGGTTCAAGTCCACCCAGAGACACCTCGGAAGAAAAGGCGTGGTACTCCCAAAAAATCAGCCAATGAAAACCGTATGGAGCACAGTTCTACTCTGACACACATGGGGTTGCCATGAGTCCGAATGGCCTTAATAGCAGCTGGTTTTTTTTTTTTATTTCCTTCTCCAGCCCACAAGGAAATTGAGCTTAGGGTAAGCAGTTTCTTGTTTTCCTTCTTGCCTCATCTGTGACTATCCTTAGGCACAATTACCTGGGAGAACCTGGCTGCTGTATTGCCCTTCGGAGGCACCTTTGACCTGGTCAAATTAAAAGGCTCTACCCTGAAGAAGGCCTTTGAGCACAGCGTCCACCGCTATGGCCAGTCCACTGGAGAGTTCCTGCAGGTGGGAGGTAAGTCAGGTGCACTGGGGGGCCAGCCTGTCCAAGGTGCTGGTTGCCTCAGTTCTCCCTCAGCAGGACCTTGATGGCCAGATTTGCTTAAATTTGCTCTCACCCAAGACAAACACATAGCCTTTCAAAGGCTGTAGACTCCCAGATCCACTGAGGTCAGGTCAGGTCCCAAAGCCCTAGCAATCAGTGAATTTGCCAAATCTGATGTGGACGTCAGATAGGCCCTCTGCAGGAGCCGGCCCTCCAAATTCTAAGCAGGTCAGATGCCTTGAGGGCTAATTTCTATTAAATCTTAGCTGGTTAAACATTCAATATTCTTAAAAAAAAAATCCCTTATCTGTTTTGTTTCTAATTGCCTGGAAACACGCAGAGGTCCAAAGGAATGTGGTGCCCAGTCAGTATTAACAGGGATGATTTCTGGGAGTTGGGCCGTGTAGACACACTGGAACACTTTGTTCCAGTTCCACTGTGATCTGGACAGGTCTTCAACCTCTCTCATCTCAGGAAGAAAACCTACCCTGCTTACCACACAGGTTGCAGTGAAAATTGAATAAAAAGAAATACTTCACAAAGTACCAAGTGCTACTGAAACACTTTCGTCAATTCCACAGTACAGTGAAATAATCCTTAAAAGTAATACTCTTATTTTACTCTGAAATCATATTGTAGCCTCGTTTTTTTTAGCTGTATGTGGTAGTCCCACTTGACTGTAGTTGCTTTGCCGAGTCAACTCCACCCTCTACAGAACAACACCTCACTGTCGGTACTGACTGGCTGCAGAGCCAGTGGGGCCCTGGCATTCCGCATTTTTCGAGGAGGAAGTCAAGGCAACAGCAGTGTTTTGATGTTCCATCAAAGTTCTGGGTAGCTGTATGCTTTGTAAAAGTTGGCCAGTCCCAAATTATTACTATTTTGTCATCTTCGAAATTCTAACAAATGTTCTGTGACTGTCATTTATTTCTTGTTTCCAAAGTACTTGAACCAGCTTCCTGGATCAATTAATTCAGGATTTTAAAGAGGTAAAAAAGGTGGTTTCTCCCCACAGAGTCACCCCTCACCCATTCTGGGCCAGAGCCAGCTTTCCTTCCAGTGGTTCCCAGACCTTCTAGAAGTACTCAAAGTTAAACCTAACCAAAATAAGAGTAGCTGCAAAGTTACCTCAGCTGTCTCAATGAAATGTCACTCAAGCACAAACTAAATGAAAATCAAGCCCATTGTCCCTATTCCAGATCTTGGCCAAAACACCTTTATTAGATAACAGAAGTCTCCCTTTGGATCCAGTGAAAACGTATGGACTCATCTTTTTCTACTAGGAATCCATGTGGTATATGACCTTTCCCAAAAACGTGGCAACAGAGTGGTCAGCATAGATGTTCTTTGCACCAAGTGTCAAGTGCCCACTTATGAGCCTCTCAGAATGGATGAAGAATATAATGTGGTCCTCCCAAACTTCCTTGCCAATGGTGGAGATTCATTCCAGATGATAAAAGATGAATTACTAAAACATGACTCTGGTAAGCACAAGTGTCTCTTCTTTCCCCTTACCTCAGAGCGTACTCAAGAACCACAGTACTGGGCCAAGAAGGGGAGTTATTAATGGTGTCCATGAGGGCAAAGCCAGAATCCAGATCCTGCCCCGATGTTGCTAACTCCATTCCTGCTTTGCTTGTTGGAAAACAGCAGCACAGCACTGGGGAGTGTATGCCCCTTTCCTGGCACACACCCCATCCCGTCCAACCTCAGAGAAAAAAGTTTTAAGTAAAAACTATTTGAAAATTCTTTTAAATACATATAAGGAGCTGTTTAAATTGTGAAATATAAACCAGTTTTGTGCTTATATAAAAATTGCCCTCTAGAGTACTACGCACATTTAAAAAATCATCTATATGAGATCAAATGGTCAGCAATTACTCTAAAGCAAAGATGAAAGGGTAAAGGAACAGGGAAACCAGATTATTGGAAGGAAACATCCAGAAGGGAATCAATGAGAATGTGAAAACATTGTGAAAAACGTAACCAATTTCTCTGAACAATTTGTGTTCTTGTCTCCTGTGACCCTTTATCCCTGCTTATGAAAGGAGTATCTTCTTTTTTATAATTACAAGAGACTTTAGAGAAATGCATTCGTGTCCCCCCCACCTTACGGTTAAATGGGAACCTAATTTGTTGTGTAAACTTTCACCAAAAACAAAAAATTCAGGCAGTCCCCAACTTATATTTAACACAAACCAAACTTAGGACCATCGTTTTTTTTGTACATTTTGTTAGTAATATGTACTACAATATTATAGTAGTTTTGTAAGTTTGTATGTAATGTTTCCAACCCCCAAAGACAAACAAAGATCAGCTCTATAAAGATACTGATAATAAATGGCAATAATAATGAAAACTAAAAAAAAGAGAGATATTCGACTTATGTCAGAATCAACTTAACTGTGGAGTCGCCAGAATGGAACCCTGTCATATGTCGGGGACTGCCTGTATTATTTTAAAAAAGAAAAAAGGCCTCTAGAATTTTAGGTTAGAGGTGGAAAACCTGCAGGGTAAATCATCTAAATTTTCCTTTTGGAAGAAGCTTTCAGTGTGAATAGGTCAGGTAGGAGTGGATGGGATATGCCCCCCTTTCAGCATACTGCGTTGGTGCAGCAAATCATAAAAACAATCATACTTGATCCATATTTTCAGCAGTATTGAGGGTCATTATACCCCAACCTAACTTTTAGAAAACCAATTGAGAGTCACCTCTTGTGCACAAACTCCACTGACACAGGGCACACTTCCCCTTCCTCTCCCCAGCATGCTTACAAGACACACGCACAGCTTCCCCACATCTCCAGGAGGGAACTCAGCCAGGTTTTTCCTCAGTCTTACCATGGTGAGCCTGCCATTTTAGCAGCTTATTCCAAGGAGGGTGGAGGGCAGAGCCAGGCCAAAGGAAGGGGCTGGCTACTTCTGTTCACACCATGATAGGAGATGGAAGGGCAGGCTTGAAAGGATGTCCTGGGTGTCCTCTTGAAATGAAGAGGCTGATGATGGCATCACCTGGCACTGTTCTGCTCACCCAACCCCAGATGGATGGGTTTTGGAGAGGAGTTCACGAAGAAGGGGTCTCAATCCTGGCTATACATTAGAATCGCTGGTTGAACGTTTTAAAGAAAATACTGATGCTTTGGCCCCAACCCTTAAGAGATGCTAATCTAATTAGCTGGGGCAGAGCCCGGGAAGCAATATTCTTAAAAATCTCTTCCAATTACTCTAATGTACAGCCAGGGTAGGAACTACTTCAGAGAGAAGAGTTCTTTTTTAAGTATTAGAGTGATACTTTTAAAATGAAATTCTCTTTGATACCCATGGGTTTGCTGTAGGCAATTAGTATTTGTCACCTCTTTTCCATTTTCGAAATGAAGCCTCCATTGTTCCACCGTCAATTATGCAAAAATAATTCTTGAGCAGGAGAGCAGAAGGAAGCCACTTTTAACTCTCAATTAATTGCTCTTGATCCAGTTCCCTAATGCCCTTGTTCTGGAGTGATTCAAAGGCTACTGTGTCAACCACCTCTTTCTTGAGTCATCTGAGACCTGAGACAGCTATCCTCTCCCCAATTATCCAATAGTGAACAATGGGCACATTTTCTGTCTGGAACATGAAAAGGCAATCAAATTCTTTGCACTTATGATAGCCACTGTTCTTGTCTCCTGTGACACTTCATCCTTGCTTATGAAAGAAGAATATTTTCCTTTTTATAATTACAAGGGACTTTAAAGAAATGCATTAGTGCTCCCCCCCACTGTTAGTAATTACCTTTTCTGTGTTTAAAATAACATGTATTTTTCTAGGTGACCAAGATATCAACGTGGTTTCTGAATACATCTCAAAAATGAAAGTAATTTATCCTGCAGTTGAAGGTCGGATCAAGTTTTCTGCAGGAACTTATTGCCAAGGAAGCTTTGTTCTAGTATCTCTTTCATTTTTGGCAGTGAGCCTTGTTTTATACCAATAGCCAAAATTTCTCCCTGCCGTTAGTGCGTGAAACCACATTTTTTTCAAGTGAGGTTCAAGTCTGCATTTTAGGGCCTGGCTTTGTGATGGCACAGAATATCCTCGCAGGCTCCTAGAAGCTAAAGTTTACAATGTTATAAAACGAAGAGACTGACATCATCACTCAAGGTCAACAACTTGGTGATACAGACCAAAAAAAAAAAGAGAGAATTAAAACAGAACTTTATGAGAGGAAGGACAGCTATATTTAATTTACAAATTCAAATTTTTATAAAATTGTATTAACTATTTAAAATTGTAGAAATCATTTTTATCCTCTGGGCCCATTCTATTGGACCTCTGGTGGCACAGTGGTTAAGAGCTATGGCGTGCTATGGCTGTAACCAAAATGTCAGCAGTTCGAATCCACCAGCTGCTCCTTGGAAACCCTATGGAGCAGTTCTACTCTCTACAGTAGGGTCGCTATGAGTCGGAATCAACTTGATGGCAACGGGTTTGTTTTGGTTTAGGCCCATTCTAATCTAGCAAAGAACTTCTGTTTACACAGAACTTTATAATTTACAAGGGATTTTTTAAGCACACTGATGGCACAACTTACTTTGGTGGGTAAAGCAAGTGTTATTTTTCCCATTTTACAGACAAGGAAATTGAAACTCAGAGAGCTGACTTGCTCAAGGCTGTACAGCTAAAAGTGACAAATCCAAGACTTGGACCTAGGTCTTTTGACTTCAAGTCCAGCACTCTTTCAACACATTCAATTGCTGTTCAGAATGATACTTAATAGTCTCCTCTTTTCATAATTATCAATGGCCGCAAGCTCATGGATGACAAGCCTCTGCTTTACTTCTGGTCTCTATTTTTTGCCTTTTTAGCTCCTGTTGTTACAGTGTTTAAGAAACACAGGTAGCAGTCTCTCTTGCATCACCCAGGTGCCTTTGATAAATTAGGGAACAAACTTGGTGCGGCAGATAATGAGAAAGGCCAAAGGCTGTAAAAGGCAGTTAAGGGGCTGGGGAGAAAACAGAAGGAAGAACAGGACACCAGGACAGATTCACATTATAAAAGAAAGAGAGCTAAAGAACATTTAGATTTGTTAAACAGGTATTCAACAAGGAGTAGCAGCAGTGCCTGACACATAATGTTAGCAGTTATTAATCTCTTGAGTTTAATCAGTTCTGCCTCTGTGCTCTTTCCTTCCTTCTTCAAAAGTGAAGGTGCCATGAAAAGAGAAACCTTCTAGAACGAGCTGTAATGCTACACCTGCACTTGCCCCTGCCCAGCAAAATACTAGCACTGTACTTACTCCAGTTACACCACACACACACACGTTTTGGAAAACCCAGAGGGGAAATGAGCATTAATTTTAAGAAGTGGTATACATATGATGTTTGAAGTCAGCTGTGCCTCTAAATCCCGACAATCACTCCAAGTAATTCTCAAGTCCAGGGAGTGGGCCCCTCTAAGTGGATGCTCAGGAAATACCCAGACTGATGAAATGACTTATGCCCAAAGAACAAATACTTGCTTATGTGGGTAGTGATGCCCTGTGGGCCTTTTAAGCATCACATAAGTGATTCAACAAGAGATGGGAGCCTTCACCTCAAAAAGTGAGCTAACAGCAGCTGAAGTTTGGAAAGGGGGTATGTTTGTTTCTTAGTATTTACAAATATTAAGTATTTTTGGTACAAAATATACTTTTAAACTTCACAGCCTTTTTTTACAGATGTTGTGGCAGTAAAATAATTCCCTTGGTTCTATGCATATACAGATTAGCTATAAACAAATACCAGTAACAGTGTAAGAAGTGAGGAACTTGAGAAAGGTTCATTTGGGATATATTTTTTATGCTTGGCCAGTAAAATAGGATAAATCCTATCGAAGCAAAATTTTTTAAACAACATTTTTGTAAGTTTTCTAAATATGTGTGTGTTTTGTGCAGTGGTATTGAAAAATGACCTTGAACTGCTTTGCAGCTGTAGATTCTGAACAATAAAATTCATGATACAAAGGCAAACACTTGTAACCTGATAAGATATGACTGAAGAAAGCTCTCTGACAATTTATCACTGATAAAATTTCTCCTGATAACCCCTTGCCATCTGATCACTGCCCACCCCCAAAAAAATTGAAAGAGAAGAAAAATGCATGCAATTTTAGGTAGAAGATGAAAGAAAGGATATTCTAAGTAAGACTACTAAATTTTTTTATTTTCATGTACAGAATCTAATGTAGAAACATACTGGTTGTGGTTGTTAGGCACCATCAAGTCGGTTCCGACTCACAGCAACCCTACATACAACTGAACAAAACACTGCCCGATCCTGCACCATCCTCACAATCCTTGTTATGCTTGAGCCCATTGTTGCAGCCACTGTACCAATCCATCTCATTGACGGTCTTCCTCTTTTTCACTGACCCTCTACTTTACCAAGCATGATGTCCTTCTCCAGGGACTGATCCCTCCTGATAACATGTCCAAAGTATGTGAAACACAGTCTCACCATCCTTGCTTCTAAGGAGCAATCTGGTTGAACTTCCTCCAAGACAGATTTGTTTGTTCTTTTGGCAGTCCATGGTATATTCAATATCCTTCACCAACACCACAATTCAAAGGCATCAATTCTTCTTCAGTCTTCCTTATTCATCGTCCAGCTTTCACATGCATATCAGGCGACTGAAAACACCATGGCTTGTGTCAGGCGCACCTTAAGTCTTCAAGGTGACATCTTTGCTTTTTAACACTTTAAAGAGTTCTTTTGCAGTAGATTTGCCTGATGGCGATGCGTCGTTTGATTTCTTGACTGCTGCTTCCATTGGTGTTGACTGTGGATCCAAGTAAAATGAAATCATTGACAACGTCAGTCTTTTCTCCGTTTATCATGATGTTGCTTACTGGTCCAGTTGTGAGGATTTGTGTTTTATGTTGAGGTGTAATCCATACTGAAGGCTGTGGTCTTTGATCTTCAGCAGTAAGTGCTTCAAGTCCTCTTCCATTCCTCACGCAAGGTTGTGTCATCTGCGTATCACAGGTGTTAATGAGTCTTCCTCCAATCTTGATGCAGTGTTCTTCATATAGTCCAGCTTCTCAGATTATTCGCTCAGCATACAGACTAAATAAGTATGGTGAAAGGATATAACCCTGACGCACGCCTTTCCTGACTTTAATCCCCACAGTATCCCCTTGTCTGTACTGGTAGCACAATAAAATTAGTTTTGTTACACCTTGATCAACCAGGCACATTAATTCAATTTGGTAGCAATGCTGCCTTCAGTTGGCTGGGTTTCTTACAAGAAAGAAACTATTTGATTATTAAAACTGCTAATAGCTGTTCATTAGAAAGAGTCACTCCCTGAGGGAGTTATGTAGTCCCATGGATGTATGGCTTGGCAAGCAACCATAACGGCTTGCCAAAATTAGGAAAAGGTCCCCTTCCTTCTGGTGCACCCAGTCCCACACCAAGGCATAACAAATGGAGTGTGGGCTGGATTTCAGCCACCAATGGCACCCTGGTTGGAGCCCTCATGCAGGGTGTGCCCTACACAATCAGCTGAGCAGCCCTGAGGCAAGGAGCAGCTTCTGTGTTCTATATATTTTGCAAACCAAAGGTTATAATTAATGTTATTTTAGTGCTGGTGAAATAAAATACATTTTATAACCCTGGTGGTGCAATGGTTAAGCACTCGGTCACTAACTGAAAGGTTGCTGGTCAAACCCACCCAGGGGCTCTGCCAGAGAAAAGACTTACTCTCATAAAGATTACAGCCTTGGAAACCCTATGGGGCAGTTCTGCTCTGTCACATGGACATCATTAAATAGGTTAGTTTTCCAAAGTATATTTAGAGTTCCCACAGTACCCAACTTAGTGCCTAATACACAGTTAATGATCAATAAATATATTTTGAATGAACAGTGCCGCCAATAACTAAACACAAAATGCTCAATCCTGAAAGAGAAATTTTTTTCAAGAAGGAGAAAAGCATAGCATGACAAGGAATTCCAAGTAAAATTCTAAAACACTGTATCTTTAAAAATAGTATTTTAAATTAACTTTCCCCAAGGAATACAGTTAATTCCTTATTTTTCTTTTGGAGAGATGACAGACATAAACCAAAAATCTATTTACCTAAATTGTTATATGAGCTTTTGGAATACAGTTACACACATTCAGTGAAATTTAGTAATAACTGCACAATCACAAATATCTGTTAAGTATTCAATTTTCACATCCAACAGGGCTATAATCTGTCAGTCATCCAGCCAGAATAAAAAAAAAGTCCCTTGATTATTATGAAAAACTCATAAAGGATATTTTATTTATAGACACACAGTTAATTATGTAGAAAATGAAAAAAAGGAAAACAAATCTACTAAAATATATTAACTACAAATAAGAAAGTAAATCAGCTCTTATTTACATTTCTCCACACTAACCATAATTACTTTCAAAGTGATAACAATATAAAGTTATTAATCTTACCTGTTTGCCCTATAAGGATTATGAACTACTTCTTTAAAAAACGCCAATAACAAGTGATTTTTCCTCTAACAAAATATGGACGACAAGTATAAAATGAAAGGCTAAGAAACCCAATCACTTTTAATCATTATTATGTTTGTCAGTCTTTATTAAAACAAAACAAAAAATCAAAATTTCAGACACTGAATTACATGATATGTACAAGAATATACAAAAGTAAAAGAAAACAAAAGGTACATATCTACTACACTAGCACAGCAGAAATTTCAACTGGTTATTCTATCCCAAATCCAAATGTTTACATCCAGGATGTCACAGAGGTCACTTCCTTTTGTACCTAAAGTGAAAATAAATGCATTTAATAGAAGATAATAATACAAGGTTCATTTGTGAATTGCCTAACAGTTCTAGGATATTAAAATTCTAAACTAAGACATACATATGTTGTATACCAAAAGAAATTAGCTGGCATATGTAGCCATATATCCATAATATCTATGTTTTAGAGATGACTAAATAACAAGGTTTTGTGACAGCCCTATAAAGTCTCGAAGAGAGAGCTGGAGGTTTCCTGGTATTGATTCCCATGTAGATTGAACATAAAGTGTAACTTCCATCCTGTTTTACTACACATTTAATGTTACCATAACTTGAAAAGTTTATAATTAACAGGTAAAGAGTCCAAATCTGGTTTTCTCTACAAGACTAACATTTCACTGCTATGCCACAACCT